ATATTAATTTTGTTACAGAAAAATGGTATCAATTGAAAGTAGATTCTTTTAATTTTAATTGTATTTAATGTTATTGATCTATAATGCAGATAAATTATACATATAATAAAGATTGTTGTAAAGGTATATTTTATTTATATAGCAAATAAACATTTAACTAGATAGGTAAATTCATTCATTATTACTAGTACTTACATCATAATGGCACAGTCCAAACCAGGTGTCAGAAAAGTATATGCATAATTACTAATTTGCATATCCAGGTCTTTGTGCAAATTGAAGCAGTCCATATCACTTGTCACATTACCTTGTACAGGTAACACCTAACTTGGCTGTAAGTGGTAGGCACTGTTGTTTTCTGTGGTTTTAACTGGTGGTCTGTTGTTGTCTACTGACACCAATTTTGGAATAGCATACAACTCAGCTCTTGGCTTAAGATATTTTGATTAAGGTTGCAGGTAAGTCACACCATTTTGAAAATATTTTATAGCACACTTACAATTGCCTTTAAGCTAGGCTGTATGAATCTAGCAACAGTCTAGGCCATATTACCACCTGATTAGCTGCTAGGCTGATTATGAGGTTTGGTCCTACAGTACATGGATAGCTTTAGATTCAGGGTCAAACTAGCCTGTATCATTTTGTCAATATGTTTGCCTTAAATTGTTTTAAAAAATTATTTTTTAATTGTTTAAATATATTTTAACTTGGACAACAGTTATCAAAGTAGTAATAAATATTTTATTCAGCCTGTATACCATATATAATATCACACTTTTCAATTCCAATTTTCAGGGGTTGATACCACAATGCAAAAGTCAACATGTATCATAGGCGTGTGTATGCTACTTGCCACCTATGTGGTGCCCTCGTTCGCTGCCTCCAAGTATTTTCTAGATTCTGCTTTCAGTGCAAAATACATGGGTACAATCAACCGTACCGTGTCTGAAACCATAACAGGATTTGAAGAACCAGACCTAAACAGAGGAAACGACTTTGACAAATCGACAGGCATATTCACGTGCGAGTTTCCTGGAACATACTATTTTGAAGTTGACATTCACCTGTCAGATGACCAAACAGTACATCGTCTGTCCACAAACCTCTTTTTTATCAACAATGGCAATAATTTTATCTCGCTGTCAAACCTCAAGATCCTAAATTCGCAAACTGGCGGCGTTGTAGACCTTGCAATTGGAGATAAAGTTCAACTTGAAGTGCCTTACGAGCTGGTCGAGACCTTTGACACGGATCATCCATTGGTGTTTCTTGGCTTTCTCTTGGATCGTAAGTTAATTTTCTTGTTACTTATTACAGCAAGATTAAATTCCACCAAACTTCTCGCCTTGTGTTTCTACAATTAGTTCTGTGCAGCCACTTTTTATCCTTAATTTGATCTTATTATTTGTATTGGTCTTTTCTTATTTATATATATATATATATATATATATATATGTATATATGTATATGTATATATATGTATATATGTATATGTATATATATGTATATATGTATATATGTATATATGTATATGTGTATATGTATATGTATATGTGTATATGTATATGTATATGTATATGTGTATATGTATATGTATATACATATATATATACATACATATATATACATATACAATTTATTTTGTTGCGTTTCAATATTTGTTTTGTATTGTAAAACACTGTATTTTATCTATGCTCGAAATATAAAACAAAAAAAATAAAATTGTTTGGCTATACCATGTGTTTTTTTGTGGATGCTTAAAACTTTCGCAATGTTATCCTTTACATGCCACTTAACTATAAAAAAAACTTTTTCAGATGATTGCCACTGCGGAGGTCAATTGACTAGGGAGAGTTCGTTTTCAGTCGTCAACTCAATTCAAAATGGTGAATCTATTCCCCTCGGAAATGTAACCTACCAGGAGGCCCTTAGTAACGTTGGAAACTGCATCGATTCAAACACTGGCATCTTCACGGCACCATACACCGGACTATATTACTTCACGTTCACTGCTGTGACACGAGGAGTATCAACGTTTGAAATCAGTCGCAACAGTGAAGCAGTTTTGAGTATGACTGATGGTGCAGACTTTGACTCTCTGTCCGGTAGTATTATTCTTGAGCTTACCAAGGGTGATAAAGTGTATCTGGAGTATGCAGCTGGGGGTCCTATTAACACGCAAGGGGGAAGCATTGTATTTTCAGGGTTCTTATTGTGAAAATATCTGAGGGTAATGATTTTAAAGAACTCGGTGGTAAGAAGCAGTATTCTAAAATGTGTTTTTTGAATGGAAGAACATAAGTTAAATCTTTATTCGATTTATAATCGATCAAACATACACAATACTCATAAAATAAAAAAAAAAGCAAGCAACTCCAATTTCACATTATGATTATAAAAATACTGATTCTACGAATGAACTTTACAAGGGGAACCTAATTTTATATGAATTTGCATTCCAAATGATTTTGAATTGAAATGATTTAAAGTTAAATGTATAATACAAAGCAATTCAATTAAACGTTATCACATTGAAAGAGGAATCTTACTTGGTTTATGAAACTGAACTTTGACCCAGCTTTGACGAGCAGCCTTATGCACTCTAGTTGTCCATTACATGCTGCAGTGTACATTGGCGTCACTCCCCAGTTGTCCGTCAAATCAACATCAGCTCCCGCCTACAAGACATAAATAAAGGATTAGAAGATATTATTCATATTGGTTATTTTATAATTACCAAATAAAATCTACCTGAATGAATGATAATACTGTATTCACAAATGTATTAATCAGTTTGGTTCGTTCATTCATTAATAGATACATAAGCTGATGATAATTTTGGTCATGGATGTTACTATAATTAAAAATACCTGAATATAGCTGTAAGAAGGTAATTTAAATGTATAAATTTCTCTCTATACTACAGTTTTCTGCAACATGTAATTTGCCCATATATGGGCATAAAAATGTCATGTCATTTGTGAAATGTATGTATGGGTAAATCTCTGTTATTCGTCTCAGAGAATTTGATGATGGTGTAAAAAAAGCTTACACAAGTAGCAATCATCAACTACATATATTCTAGCTATGAAGTGTCAGGTTCAGTACAGGAGCTATCAGCTACACTATGTGCTTTTGAGGGCATTTATATTCCAAAATAATGCATTGTAATAAGAGGGTGCTCTGCACTGACAACTTAAAGATGTATATTACCCTTATGAGAACTGCCATGCATTCTGGGTAGAGTGCTGAGACAGCATGTAGTGGTGCCTGCCCATGTTTACATTGACTGTTGACATCTGCACCATTCTCGATAAGAACTTCCAGACAGTGTGCGTGACCTTTGTAAGCAGCCCAATAGAGGGCAGACTTCCCATAGAAATCCTTTCTGTTTATACCTGCTGTACCTGCAAGGAAAGTAAATTATTTAAAAGAAGCAAAAATTGATTACTCCCCTGGAACAGGTCCCTGGGGATTCCATAGGTATAAATTCAATGCCCAGGGTCATACTTTGCAGCCCATAGAGGCCTTGGCATCAAGCACTATATATGTTTGACATTATTATACAATTCTATGCAACTTTACTGACCTTCTGCTTTATAAATCTGTTGAATTTCCTCCGCGTTTCCATGACTTGCAGCATAATGCAAAGCTGTCCAGTTATGTGTAAACTTCGGAGGTCGACCAGAGTTTCTTGGCGTTTTATGATCGTCACTGTCTTGCCCGAAACAATCAAACTTCCATTCCCACATGGGCAGTGTACTCCACTTTGAACCCATTGCATGTAGTCATTATCTATTGGAAGAAATAAAAATACATGCATCAAAAAAAAAAATTAGATGTTGTTACTGTTATAGCATACATATTTTATAAAAGCTTTCTGACATTAAGTAAACAAATTGATAAAACAATGTATTAACAGCATATTATTAATAATACAGCATATTAATATCTGATGCTTAAAGCTGGGCACACATTATTGGAGGCAGACTTGGTGGATCGTCATTAAACACATTGTGTTGTACGTTCTTCAGGAGACCACATCAGCCGAAGAAGATTGTCGGTGCAATAGGCCTATGTGTCCGGTTTCACACATTTACAATGTTTTTTATTTGCTGTAATTCATCTGTTTTTTATGGTCGTGTATATTTTTCAATTGTTTTTTGCGGCCATTTTGGTGACTAATAACAATACTGTACTTACAATACTACTCCAGATGCATTTTCACTTTACTTTTCCCTGAGGACATGGCACAACAAAGAATAAAAGCATGGTACAAACCATGTATGGTACACTACACTGCCCAACCCAATGCTGCTTTTCAAACAACAAATCAACTATTAAAACGCACTCTCAATCAGAGGCAACCACTAATAAAAGTTATAAATCAGAACTATGTCCTTGTTCCTGTCTACAATCTACAGTTCGCACAATCAATGTTAGCATTCGGATTCGGACTAACTGAGTTAGCCGAGGCCTAGGCCTAGTCTAGATCAAATTGAGATGATGCTGAAGATGCTAACGGTCGACGACAACCTCTTCACTAGTATCGGACTATCCTAGCTGTCTTATAAATAACTTACTGTATCATTCATAATAATTCATCATTCGCTGATCATCGCCGTCTGTTCGCATCAAACTCTATCAAAATGGCCGAATCTCGAATTTGGATATCCTACGAAATAATATCCAAGCCTTAGACAATTATCCAGGGAAGCTTTCATCAAAGGAAGGATAAATTACTAAACAATACCTGACAATACGCTGTGAAAAAAAACATAACAAGTTAGATCTGTAAAATTAGTAGTAGTGCGCCACCAATACTTCGACCCAAGATAGAGCTAGTTTCTCCGTTCTCCACACAGAAAAAAATGTGTTCCACCGAAATGCATGGTGGGAATACAAACAATGGGGCGCCCCGTACGGCTGGATCTAACCCAGACAGTGACATCGGTGAATACATAACCTCCTTGGCGGAGGTAGAAATCGTTGCTATTATCCAAAAACACAAACAATTATCATGGATAAGTAAAGAATAAAACAGCCGTAGCGCAGAATCGTATGGCCGGACGCAATCTAATGATAAAGTTTTCCTCCATTAGTGGAAAAGAAGGGCGCCGTGTGCGTCTGGATATACTTAGCAACAGAAGGGCGCCCTGTACGGCGGGCCTCATTTTTACTATGCGAGTGCTCTATGTCTTGTAATTCTAGTATCTTTGGTCAAATTGATGATTTTTCAAAGGTTTCACAATTTTTATGATCTTCATATTTTTAAATATTTATGAAAGGCGGCTCATAATTGACTTTTCTGTCTCTATACCTAGGTATCATTTGTGTAAGTGTGTTACACAAAATAGCATAAACGTAGGCCTACCGGTACATAAACTTGGGATAGGCCTATAGCACTAGTGTAATACCATAGAGAAAGAAAATGTTTATTTTCCTTCTCTATGATAGTGACATACTCCAAGTATCGAAATGCACGCCATCGTGTCGGGATTCAATATTTCGACATTAATTATGTCATCATCCCGAAGAAAAATTATCATATTTGCAAGCTTATATGCACAAGTACCAAAAAGTGTTCTACCAATCAAATTACCCCTAGTAGGTTACATAGCTATAAATAAACTAAAGGTGATTTTCATTTTCATAATTTTCGAAAATTTTCTTTATTTTTATAACACGCATCTTCTCAAAAGATTAACGGAAAATCCCAGGATAACTTCAACCATCTCTGATAGTGAGTGTTTTCATATATTTCAACAAACTTCTCAGTCTCAATTTAGCACTTCAGAAAGTCACGGTGTTCAAACAGTATTAAAATGATAGGTGCAGTGGTGTAGGACTACTTGTGCAACCCATAATAAAAAATATACTTTAGGCCTATATATTTATTATAGGAATGTCTATTAATATTAATATATGGTCAAACTAGAATTTATATCCATAGGTCCTCTCAATTTTTCGTACTTTTTTAGGCAAATAAACGGATGAATGCGCGAATAAGGAAATCAGCAAGCAATTGAGAGTTTCCTTCTTTTTTTCTTTTTTTTTTTGCACCTACTGTAATTTCCTTTTGGACAAAATAAAGAAATTTGAATCTGAATATTACACGAATGAAACGAACGAATGAACAAGTCGAATGAATAAATGGGTGAATGAATGAATAAAAAATTAATGAAAATGGCCATGTAGTGATCCTTGTCTTTTTAAATTGAACCTGTCAGTTTATAATTAATTAGAATTAAATTAACTAAATTAATTTATTGAATATAATCGTGTGAGGAGAGTAGCCCAAGGGGATTTCCCTATGTGGGTTGCTGCCTCTCCAGCGGACCAGACTCCATCCCATCCTGCTAGTTGTGGCTAATAATAGATTCCTGGCGTATTGTATTGTTACTAAATTCTTTGTAACGTCTGGTTGAATCACCGCAGCTACTAAAACATGAAATACGAACTTCAACGACTTTTTGTTGTGTCGCCTATGTCTAGCTATGATCGTATCGGAAGTTGTTCACACGCAACTATAAACTAGGCTAGCCTAGGAAGGAAGAATTTAAAACTTATATACTGGTTTTCTAATGATGATTTTAACTGTAAAAATATTACCAGGCGGCAGAAAAGAATGTTCCATAGAGGTATATACTGTTTATGAATCAAGGTTATATGTATTTATTAAAAATATATAGTATTTGGCCGTTTTCGCTAGGCCTAGGTTAGTCTGTTTTAAGTGTGACACCACAAGGGCGAGGGTTTGCCTGGCTTGACTAGCAATAGCATAGCATGGGTGAACGACATGATTTCATAATGGGCTATTTTATATTATATTTAAAATAATTATTAGAAAGACACATCTATTAGTATGTGGAGGTGGATTATGATGAATGTATTTACTAACTATGATGACTTCTTGTTTGTACATTGTAAGTTATGTATTGTAAGAAGAGTTGTTAAAATAATAATAATAATTGTATTCTTGCAGATAGAAATCTAGGAAATAAAATTAGGCCTAGACTAAAGAATTAGACAAAAAAGAGGTCAAAAGATTTTGTTATATATTTTACTTGGTCTAGTTTTCTAGACAGGGTTATGTTTAAAGACGGGCTATGAAGGGAAACATTTTTTGATACGTCACCATAACCATGATACTGTAGTGTAAATAAAGTATTTGAATTGCACAGATGATACTTAAAAAATTAGCTCCAATTTGCATGGAAACTCCCTAGGAAAATAGGTGTGCAGAATCCTAACTACTGCATAATACATTGGTTATATATTAATATTAGATCAAAGAATAATTTTTGGCAAAATCTGCGCGGAAATTGTCCCTTACTTGCAGTAATGCGTGGACAAATTTAGGCCTAATTTTTGTACGGAGGATTCCCTATGAGCAGGCCTTACTTTGCAGTCTGAATATGTTGTACAACTGATTTTTTTAATATATAAAAAGGGTGTTTGACAAAAAGAAACTTGGGAACTGTTAAAGTGAGATTTTAAAACTGGGAGGAAAAGTGCATAACCACCTTCTTTCCAACTTTTCCCCATTTGGGCAATTTATAACAGCAGGCTGTCACCACTAAATTGTGGCCTCTCCAAGATCTCACAATTTGTACAGTGTTTATGAAAGCCTTTGGAATTTACACTGATGACATTATTCTATATTTTTACTGTATTGATTTGATTAAAAATTTCATGGATTACGGCTACTTGTACATCGTTGCTTAGTTTGTCACTGGCATGAATAATGGGTCAACTTATATTTTTACAATTTTAGCCTTTATTTAGGAAGTGCTATTGATTTACACTAGTCTCAAACTTGTCCTAATCCACCCATAGTAACATCCAATCATAATTAGGAGTTTATTTAATACTGATGTAACAATTGCACTACCAATGCTATAGCATTTTTAATTTCTTCCATTTAGGTACCAAATTGGCTCATAAATAGTTAACTCAATCTTAAGCTTCCCACTGTCAAATTTTGTAATACCTGTTATTTGCCCATATATGGGCATGATATGTCATCATTATACCATATATGTGTATGACATGACATCATCATGCCTAATTATGGTTAAATCACACATACATGTCCCATGAAGCTTGATAGTGTGGATATAGCTGCATAGACTTTCTATGATTACCACCACACATTTATATAATGGAAGTCTTCTCATTTCAGGTGATGGACCAAGAACCAATTTTATCAGTAAAAAGAATGGTTGCTAGGGAGCTTGACGTCCCTGTTCATCTTCAAAGATTAGTATTTAGGGGGAAAACATTATCAGGTGAGCAGACATAGTCATGTACGCTTGTTGTGCAAGAAGTATACAGTACCTCCTTCGTTGTCAAGTGCATAGAGACCACATTTATTTGTGCTGTATAAGTCAACCTACTGTTATTATTGTCAACCTACTAATAATTACTTGAATAAAGGACATTTTTTTCATTCAGTATTTAAAGTAGAGGCTCCCTCCAAAGCAGAGTCTTAACATCAAGGGGCTTCTGAATAATAATAATAATATAATAATAATAATTCAGTAATTCATTCACTTTTATTTCTGATTTCAATAAATTCATTAGAAAATACGCACAATCAAATAAAATAAGTATATAAAATATAGCATCCTGAGGATTGGTGCTTCAAACTGAAAAAATAACATAATAACAAAAGAGAACAAACAATATAAAATTATAGTAGACTAATAAATCTAATTTTAAATTGATTGAAAATTGTTGTACATATTTAATTTTTGGTCATTAGAAGTTAAACAAAAAATTTTACAAATCACAAAAAAATAACTTTAATTAATTAATGGATGTACTGTAGTGGAATTTCCTATCAAATCATAATTACTGTACCCAAAAATTTGGGGTCCTCTAAACATTTTTTTGTTATACTGTATAGCCTATGCCCTCTCAGTAATGTGCTTTATTTATTATTTGCTTCTCTTTTTCCAATTATTTTAAATGTAATTCTATGTCTTAACTCCTTATATGTTTTAATTCGGTTTTGTCCTTTCGTTTAAAGCCCTTAAAAATATATAATATAACGGAAATAAAAGTATAATTAATACTCATGTTTTCACATGCCTTTTGGAATGAAATTGCAATTGTTTTCTTTCTTTCTTTCTTTCTTTCTTTCTTTAATTTATCAATTTTTTTATTTTTTGAATAAAATGAAAAAAATAATTGATTGCTTTTATTTCAGACGGATCAGCATTGAATGACTACAATATAGGTCCCAACACAAAAATTCATCTTGTAGTTCGTAAACCAGAAACAGAATGTGACCCATTACATACATCAAGAATAGGAACAAATACTGAATTCTGGGAAAAACTCAGGTTGAAACTTAATAAACATTTTACAAATGATAATGCTGAGAAAATTCTTCATCAATTTAAAATGGTAAGTACGATTGACTGCTCCACTATTGTTGCTAAGGTCCACAAAACAACAGCAGAGAACATATGTAAACACATATGTGGGACTAGTAGGAATTCCTGGCCCTTTTCTGATTGATTGAAGTTTAGTTGACACTATAAAAAGGTTGATTCTTTTGGCGAGTTGGATGGCCAAGTGGGAAAGGCAGGGGTGCTGCAACCACATGCTCGCCTGTTGTTCTGGTGGTGGAACAAGTCTTCTCGGATTAGGACTATAAAGAGTAGGCCCAGTGTACATAATTTGTCTCCTGTGCTCTTTAAAGAACCCAGTATATTCTTCGAGATGAGTGGGGGCTATCTCTGTGTACTGGTCCATTCATCCCCTGCTGTGGACAGACGAGAGTAGCTGGTACCGGTTTACCGGTAGCTCAGACATGAAGAGACCCTTAGGGGAGAACCAAGTTACTGTAAAAGCTAGTCCACACCTCAAGCGCTTTAAGAACTTTCGGTGTAAAGCGCTATATAAAACTAACTAGATTACAACTACATGAATATTTGTAGCAGTTTTGATCCACTTTTTTATGCTATTGTGGTTTGTATATTATAAAAAATATCTTTATGTTAATTTAAAATGTTCAGATTTTGTTTTAAAAAACACTTATTTAATTTCAGAAAGAGTTAAAATACAAAGTCTAAATAATGAGCAAATTATGAATTGCACAACATTTTCAAATTATCACAAATTACAAAAAAAATATCACAAACATTACAAAAAAACTCTCTTCTCTCTTTTGAGTCTTTTTTAAAAATTTAATGTATCCAATGTTTAATATGTCATTATGTGTCATTAATGCATTTAATGAAATTTAAGGTTTAAATTTAAAGTTACAGTCCTACATTTAAATAGGTAATTTGCTTTAGAAGAATGAAAAGAAGATAAGAAGGGTGGAAAGAAAAAATATTGCACTACATTTTGTGTGCTTTATATTCATTTTGATTTCTGAATGAGTGACGACAAAATAATATTCTCTTTGCTTTAAATTCTTTTTATTGTATTTAATGTGTACCTTGTGCATTATGGTATGTTATGGTATTAACACAAATTAAAAAAAATAAAAATAAATTAAATTTACAAAAAATAAAATAACAATTACATTAGCTTATTTTTTAGTAATTTTTAAAAATTTTTATTTGCAGGGTTTTTCGTCTGATGTTTGCAATCTTAGTCTGGATGAAATTGAGAGGTTAGCAATATCCAAAGAAAATAAAGATGGACACACAGACCAAGCAGGAACTTCTAGATAGTTGCTGCCGTGAATAAACGAATGAATTAATTAGAATTTGCTAGCCAATGCACATGAAAACGTAACATCCACAACACATCTGGCAGCCTGCACCTGTATGATGACTTTTTATGACAGCTTGATTCTGATTGGCTCGATATATTTTGCTCATCAGAACTGAGATATGTTAGGTCATGTGATCGACTCATGACAGCAGCAGATTCGTCTCTCGCTGATTTGGATGTTCATATGTGGATATCAAATTGACCGAATCAGGTTTTTCTTTTTTATGTCGTGGGTTATTGTAGTTACTCACATAATGGTGGCGCTTATAGAATGGCATAGTGTTGAATATACATAAATACAGTGCATACTCTGATGAACACCATTCAATGCGTTACAACCCAGGCATAGGGTCTATTGCAGTAAAAATGTAATTTAGTATAGTGAAAATGTAATTTAGTACAGTGAAAATGAAATTTATTACAGTGAAAATGAAATTGATTACAGTTTAAATGTAATTGATTACAGTGGATATGTAATCATCACAGTGAAAATGTAATCAATTACAGTAAAAATGTAATCAATTACTGTGAAAATGTAATCAATTACAGTGAAAATGTAATGGATTACTCTGGAAAATGTAATCCATTACCATGATAATGTAATCAATTACTGTGAAAAATCAATTACTGTACTGTGAAAATGTAATTGATTACATTGTAATTGACCCCATGCCTGTTAACCATGGGATATCTGTATTGACATGTGGGGTGGGGGAGGGAACTGATTGGGTGGTGCAAAGTTAAGTGGGGATCGATGAGTTTCAATTGTTGAATGAGGGCACACTTACTGGCAAGAAAAGGCAATTTTGAACTTTAGGAAGTGTGGTGTGGCTGGGAGCTGCAAGCTTTTTTGGGTGAGGGTGGTGGTGGGAGGGGGATGGTGGGTATATTTTCATTATGCCACAGATTACAACTACTACAAGTGCTTATAACATACCTTTATATATAGTACCTACTTTTTACCTTATGCCATGTTTCCATAGCACCTGAATTTACTATTAAATATAATACTCTCTGTTTTGGGCTAAAACTTGAGGAAGAAATTAATATTTGAATTGCGTACTTTGTATATTAAGTTAACCGACTCTTAAATTATATTGTTCCTATATATTTTGCATAGACTCTTAAATTGGCTGGTAATCAATTTTAGTTAATAAGGATGTAATTCAGAGGAAACTTAACTGTTTCCATCTCTGCTCATTGAAAGATTCTTTGAAAAGATAAACTTCATGTTGAATAGAATTGTTTTAAAATTTGATCACAGATAATATAAACAATTTGTAATTTAATAAGTTTGCAAGACACTTTATCTACATTTGATCCCCTCTACCCAGGAGGGTGAATGGGTACTGACATATGGGGCTTGCCATGCCAAAACCAGTATCAATGACCAAAAAAAAACGAAAACTGACTACTTTTATAATATATTCATATTCTTCACATTATAAGCTTTAAAATGATAGGTCGTATGCTGGAATAAACTTATTATTATTATTATTATTATTATTATTATTATGGCTTCTCTGTACTAAAGTGTACAACACTGCCACATTTTTATGTTAATTACTCGGTTTAACAATTAACGGCAGTACGCTGGTTTTGGGATGGCAAGCCTCATACGCTGGGAATGTAAACAGACTCGCTATGTGAAAGAGTGAGAACACCCTCACAGCATTGCAGAGTCTCCCTCAAATTCTAAAGAAGGAAATCTATGCTCCAGCCTGCATAGGTTCAACTGCCTTAATAATTTTGTCCTTTTTTCAACATTTTAAGTTTGTCAGTGTTAAATTTTTTTTTTCTCATGCCTACAGAGACATGGCTTGTTACACTGAATGTCTCACCACTTGTTAAACATGCATGTTCAAGTGTAAAGCTTGTAGCACACTGCTCTGTGTGGGCACTCGCCTAATGCAACCCCAATCTACTGACTGTCAGTAGATCTGAAAAAAAAAAAAAAACAATTTGTCCGGAGACATGTCATGCCGACGCAGAGTACCCCAGACTTTTCAACCTGACCGTAGATGTATTATAGGTGTGGGTGCGATTACCACTGTCCTTACTCTTGGAATGTATGCATCCACACATTCTATCTTTAAGCCCTGTCCAGACTATCAAATTTTATTTCACAAAAAGCATGTGACATGCCTAAATATGGTCATGATGACATCATATCATGACCATATATAGGCACATCATGACTATATATGGGCATGCAACAGCTTTTTGTCTGTAGAAAATTTAATAGTGTGGACATAGCTTAACACTCACCCAACTTGTCCTTAAGGTCTGTTTACACCGTCAGATTGTATGTGACAAATCTGTGTAATTTGCACATATATGAGCATGATATGTCACAACCATATATTGGAGAATTGTCTTTTGTGGACAGACATTTACATGTGGATACAAATTGTACATGCAAGTCAAACATGTCTTTAAACCGGGCAATCAGTGTGTTGTACGACAGCCTTATGACCGTCAGATTGGAGCGCATTAGTGGTTCTTTTTTAATGATCTAAAGTCAAGTGTAAAATTGAGTTGTTACTAACTATTTCTTGACTTTTCGCCTGCTATCGGTAAGGCTTAGTCATAAGTGCCTATATGACAGTGGTGGAGTCGATCATTAAAAAAGAACCACTAATAACGTAGATTCTCTAACTTTTGGAGGTTATTCGGTAGCGGCGCTTATAAAAAGATATTGGCGTAGCGCTTTCAATGCCCATTCCCATATTTTACATATTCCAATAGTTCAGTAGGCCTATCATAAGTCCTATCATCGTAAACAAACATTTATAAAGAAATTCTTGTGTCTTCATTGTGTTATTTATTCATTTTAATACTGTAAACATTGTATTTAAAACCCGGTTTCATTACACACAGGTTAATATTATATACTCTAGATTAAGCGCTGCAGCACTTATTCAAGAGCAACGCTTAACAAAAAAAATTATGTTCGGTGCGGCGCTTATTCAAGCATTTACGGTACTTATTTATCGTTGGATCCAACGGATTTATTCAACATCGACCTATCTTCTCAAAAATATTTAGATATTTCCTATATTCTGAAGTAGTCATTCTTATTTTGCAGTCCATTTGAATTTTAAGCCATATTAATTGCATTTCTTTAATGGATATTTTAAATAATAGAAATAATACTAATTGATTTGATAAAAATGATAGAGAAGTTATGAATAAACTAGGCCTAGAAACATGTATTTTAGGCAGTTAATTTTTCAATGAATTTTTGGTGTGTATGTGCCACTGATCTTCAATATTGAGAGATATTTGTTTGTATTTATCTTTGCCTTCTTTGTTGTTTTTTGTTTTCATCACAGTTTATAATTATAAACATAATGTAAATTACACAAAATGTTTTCTATTAAAAACTAAAAGTGCATTTTTTGTTTTCATAATTTACAATATAACGTTTAGTCAGGTATTCTTTGCCTAATATTTTAACTACTTATGTAATCAAATACTGTATAAACAAAAATATTTTGTATGTAAAATAGTCAATCCACAATACATATTATATTGGATGCGTGTTGAATGTTATGTAATTCATAGAGGGCACAGTCCGTCATCAACACAGAAAAAAAAAATTTCAAATTAATTACCAAATGTTATTTTCTCATTTGTCTATAAAACACAGAGCACTTTTTTTTCAATTTGATTTGTTGTATTTTGTGAATCATATAGTGTCAGTGGAATATTATGGGTTTGAGGAGTACGGATATTGAAATAACGAGTGATAAAAAATAAGTTAGGGAGAGTACTGTATGTTTTACTGTACAGTTGTCCATCAGACTTTCAACAATGAGGTCTGTCGGTGTGGGGGGTTGATATCTACACTTTCTATTTCACTTGCGTTCTTTAGGCAAGGCATTATCTATGGCCCAGGAGTATATTGGAGTATAAAGTGAACCTATTTTAGAATATATTTGGTTTAGGAGAAACTAATGCATGACTAAAAATATTCCCCCTCCTCATCCCCTGTGAGGAGTTCACTTATTACATATGATCTTATTTTTATTGACAAGGTAGTTTGTAATGGGTTTGCTAATTTATATGTAACTGCCAAACATATTTTTCCCAGGGGTGCAAATTTGTAAAATCTATTCCTTTGAAATATTAGCAATTTACACTTGGTCCCGGTGCATGCAGTGAACTAGAAGTACAGTATATTCAAAGTACCTGCTACAGTAACTACTCGGATGTAATATTGTAGTCACTAATAATATTTTGTATAATTTTAACCAAGCAATGTACCGCAGCAGGTATAGCTTTATATAATCTTTGAAAAGGCTAAATACCTGAATAATAACAGAGATTTTAGACTGATATTGCAGAGGTGGATCCAGTAGGGGTGGGGGAGGGGCATGCCCCCCGTTTTTCCACTAATTTTAAAATTTCAAGGCATATATTGAAATTAGTGCTCTCACTTATCTATTCTGAACATGTTGTGCCCCCCCCCCATTTGAAAAATTCTTAATCCACCCCTGTATTGCTATGCTGAATAGAGGGTAGGGGAGGGGTGCGCACCAATAAGGACCTAGAGCCCATATTAGCCTATACATAGGCACCTATCCGTAAATTCTTATTTTCTCTGTTTTTCTATCCCCTGTTTTGGTTGATTAGTGAATTACTATTCAGGGAGGAATTTACTTGGTAAACAATGTACTGTATACAGATTAATGTATGGTGTTAAATTATGATTTGTTGTGTCATTCAATTGAAACAAGTTGTGATTAATGAATATTATTAGGAAATGCTCTTTTTTGTAAATGCGTCTTGAATAAGTTAATAAAGAATAGTAATATTAACAGTGTCTAAGTCATGTCATGTTAAAAAAACATCAACCACACTGGAGCTAAAAACATTCATCATAATTTTTTAGTCAGTTTGTATCATTTTGTCATCTAAATGAAGAAAAAGAAAAGGCAAACAATGAAACGAAGAAGGAAATAAAAGAAATAAAAACAGGAAGAGAAGGTAAGGAAGGGGAATTGAAATGAAAGAGAGGAAAGTGAATGAAAACAAAAAAGAAATTAGGTGAAAAAATCATAGGATAAAAGAAACTAGGTAAGGAGAATAAGGAAGTCAAACAGGAGAAGAAATGAAGGGAAATATTAGAAAAGGAAAGAAAATATATAGGGGCCAGGCAAATGTTATTTCGGATTATTTTAGGTATAGTATATCATACAATACTGTAAATACAACTCATCATAGTAGGCCTATAATTCCCAGCGATTGACTTTTGACCAACGGAGGGACGCGTGACGTATGTTAGAATGGATTTTATGTCATCTGAGCCGCTAGTGGCTATTGTAAAGACGCCAGCTCACCAACCACTGAAGAGTGGGCGAAACCCTGCATTGTGACTGGTTCTCGGCCCTATCGAGCCCTGAAAAGACAGCTGCATCTCAACCAACCAGTGTTGTCCTCTAGGCCCAGAGACTGTAAGTATTGGACCAATGGTTTTGTGAATCTATCTTCCGAGTTTTTGAAGAGTCCGCGGGATAGATTGGCTATTAATTACTGCTTGTTTAATTACTGAAATTGTCTTATAATTTTTAGTCAAAATGTGATCGCCATTTTGAAGAGCGGTACCTTTTGTTGTAGGCTAGGCCTAGCTTATACGTACAAGTACATACAGACTGTTGTTGTGCAGCCCTGCACGATACAAGAATGGCAGGGCCTAGCCTAGCGGAGGTGTAGTAGAACAAGGCATTGAAGCTAGATAGAACAAAGCGCTTTCGGTTGTTACGGCAGTAATATTGTTTAGAAAAACAGACTAGGCTAGGCCGTGATTCTAATTTAAAGAACCTGAACAGTTAAACACTGTTTTTCAGAATGGAGAGTTTTTGTAATGATGTTATGTTATTCAATTGGTGGTTCTTGCCTAGTCTTGGCCTAGAAACTCTTTCAACTTTTGTTAAATATTGATCATTTTTGTGTCCTCTTTTAGGCCTATATCTAAAAATAAAAATCAATTGTTTATTTTCATTTTATACTATGTATTTATATGTAGGGCTTATATATATTCGGGTATATATTCAATCATTTAACTCAATATTTAAAAAAAAAAACTTGGATAAAAAGTATTTGTAAGTTAATAATAATAATAATAATAATGTCATTATTTAGCACACATATCCATTTCTAGCAGAGCTGCAAGGTGTAGCCTTTTTCTGCATAAATTTTTTATTTCATTTTATTAATATTTATCTATTTTCTTAAATTTTTTCTATATTAATTTATTAAACTATTCCTGAGCAAAGCGAAGACGCAAATAGGCCTACTCTTTGGGGTCACCATCCATCACCACCCTGGCGCATTCCCGGAACTCTGCCTAGGTGGCTCGAACAAAGGAACCGGAAACACATTTGCTCTGCCACAGACGACTGGGTGCTCAGGAATTGCAATCTTGACAATTCATTTTATATTAGGCACAAAGAGTAAGAATTGACCAAACAGTGAACTTAATCACTTTTCTAAATAAAAATTGTCCTGTATTTTCTGTTGTTTTTTTTCCCTTTGTGTTAGGCCTATATATTATTTAATATAGATACTCATGTTTGTATATCTGTGGTGTTATTTTACCTACACTTTAGTCTTTAAAATGTTCTCTTTATTTTAAATTTTTTTAAATTTAAATGTACTGGACTTTGATTCTGTGGCTAATGTTTATTGGTTTTTGTTTATTTTAATATGATATGGGTTGCCATACAGGGCTAGAAATTTACTTTTTCAGCCACTAGCAACCTATTGCTAAAATGTGCTAGTTGTTAAAAATGTAACTAGCAAAATGAGCTTCTCAACTAGTAAAATATATTGATACCGACTCAACATATTATTTTCGGAAAATAAATTGTATGAAAATAACTAATGATGTACTTCTATAAATTTGTGTGTTAAATGTTTTAATATACTTTCTGTTATGATGAGTGTAGTACAATAAATATCACAAAGAAATAGCCAAGTGAGTATAAAAAATTGATTTCTATACCTTGTACATTTATTCACTTCAGTGTCAGAAAATTTTTAATATATAAAAAAAAAATCATGATACAAAATAAAATTTTAATATTATACTTAAGTTTACCATTCATTTAATTTTTATTTTGTATCTGTGATTTTGTTTTCATATTAAATATGTACTGCTTATTAGAATTTTTCAAAATAATATAATTATAAATAAAATTTATTTTATATTAAATTTATATCATATTATTTTGAAAATTTAAAAAAACATACTTGTTTAGTGTCACACCCTCAGAAATATTCAGGGAGGGGGGAGGAGTTTTTTTTGCCAGACTAGCATTGGCCTAGCTAGCCTAGGCAGGCTTAGCTAGGTGCTAGGCCTAGAGATTTCAAAAACTGCATTGGTAGCAAGCCAAATCTTTGACAGAAAAGGCCATAACAGAAACTCAATTTTACATAACAGATTTGTTTTACAATATTTATTTTGATAGGCCTTGGTCTTTTAAAGCTTGGGCTAGACATTTTGTAGGCGGCCGTTGGTGCAGTAGTAGACTAGGCCTAGGTTAGGAGGTCTACTGCTACAGTACTAGTAGGCCTAGCCAGACTAGCTAGGCTAGGTTCTAGTAGGCTAGGCCTAAAACATCTGCCAATTGAAGCCTAGGTTGTAACATATTACTTGTCTAAGCTTCATAGTAAATAATTATTATCATATCTGAAACATTGTTTATTATCTAAAAAGAACAAAATTAAATATGTTCGCCTTAACTACCGATTGCATCGCCCGTGACTTCCGTCAACAAACACAGTGAGCGATTTTTTTTCTGCACACTGCTAACTTGTTGCATGCATGCAAGCAATGCAAGGTTTAAAAAAAATAATGTTGGTGGCGCACTTCACATCGTGTGCTCAAGATGAAAAAAACGATCGTTTTTCGTCGATTATAGGCATTTTTAGTCGATTTTCATAATTAAAAAATAAATAAATAAATTTAATAAAATTTGTATTAGTTTTTGTAGATCAGTTTAGTCTAGTTTTAGTTAATACTAGGCTAATTACAAGATATTTTGTATAGATATTTCAACTAGCAATCATTTTTTTTAATTTGCTGGTTTGTGAATTTTTACCTAGCAATTATGACAAACCTACTAGCAAATTGCTAGAACTACAAGATATTTTGTATAGATATTTCAACTAGCAATCATTTTTTTTAATTTGCTTGTTTGTGAATTTTTACCTAGCAATTATGACAAACCTACAAGCAAATTGCTAGTTTGCTAGCGTGAATTTCGAGCCCTGCCATACCTATGATGATAATTACTAATGGTTATTTAGAGGTAATAAGGTCATACCTAAACATGGCTATGTATAGTTGACTATTAATATTATATTTTGAAAGCAATTTGTCTGGTTTTTATGTAAGTAGGTGGTAGATGGGGGCAGAGGATCCCCATCGGGGACCTTGATCCCCCGCTTAAACACCCCTCGGGGAATTCCCTGCAAGGTCATCGGGGAGAATTCCTGGCGCCGCCTCTGGGTATACTTATCTTGAAAGCAAACATTCATTTACTTTTCTTTCTTTGATGTAACAATTGTTAAATGATCTCATTAATTGACTCTAGCATTATGGAAAGCTCAGAACAATCTGGTGATGGTACTCAGGTCCTGAGCATTACTGGTGACTACAACCTAGCCGCTGCCACTGGAATGTATCAAAGTGCAGATGGTAATAGTAACCTTTGTCTTGATTTGCCCGCTAAAACACAATAATAATAATAATAATTATAATCATGGAGTTATAGGTAACTCCATGATAATTAATAATAGTAATAATAATGCAATTTAATAATAATAATATAAATAATATAACGTATGAGACAGACGGTGTGAAAGTGCTGTATAATACAAGTCGGCACTCTACAAGTGATGACAGTGATTCCAACTGAGAGCTGCATAAAGGCTACAGTCATGGTCTTGAAGTTATAACGTGAAGGGGGTGGCGTTGGTAGGGGTTGGTCAAAATGAGAGGTTTATGGCCTAGGATGGTAAAAATAATTCTTTTTATTTAACATTACTGTATTCAAGTTAGAAATTGGAAATTTGGCATGTGTCCCCTGGGAAACTGTATGGGAGTTGTATGTGAAGTATATAAGTATAGAACTTATGATATAGTAAAAAAATATATGCAGTATATCAATTTAGGATATGTAAATATAAAATGATAATATATAAAAGAAATAAAGCAAATTAACTATGGCTTTGCAGGTGGAAGTGGAGAAGATAGTATATCGGTGCAAGCTCTTGATGATGAGACAACCGAGAAGCAGTACTCACCATTGAGGGAGCAAGATCGTTTTCTTCCTATAGCAAATGTTGCTAGGATAATGAAGACATCTATTCCAGCCAACGGCAAGGTAACTTACTGATCCTCTGGAAGTCTATTGAGTTTCTTACCAAGTTTGATGATTTCTTTAATAAATACAACCCTACAATTACTTTGACTTCCTTACTCATCAGGGGCTGTAGTTCCGCAACACTTTGACAATACGAAACATATTGATAAAGAAATATTTAGTAGATACGATCATATTCCTGACCTTGCAGCACCTATTGGATACCTCATTTTGATTTGTCAGTTTTGTTAAGTTTGATTGACACTTAGGGAAGGTCTATGGATGATGTGCTATGAAATCTGGCGAATTTCTTTGTAGGTCATCACAATAGTAATTTTGTTGAAATGGTGAGCATACTGGTACAGTATATACCTATCACTTGCATTTGAATTATTTGCAATTAATTATATAAAAATTAAAATAAATTAATAATTATATCAAATTCTTGTCATATTTAATGTCATTTTTTCTGTTTTGAATTCTAGATTTCCAAGGAAGCAAAGGAGTGTGTCCAGGAATGTGTGTCAGAGTTCATTAGCTTCATAACTAGCGAGTATCCTTTTTTGTGCAAACACCTCCAACAAAATATACGTAAGAACTTATTCGTGAGGAAGTACTGATTGGTTGGGCTCTCAGTAATGTGAATTATGTTACTTTGGGCCAACTGGATAACTATGTAATTTTTACTGGGTCTAGAGCTTCAGAATAAATTTTCTGGTGTTGGTCTCTGATTCCATGTTTTAGGATGGCTCCTAATTGTGCTTTTAGACCACAATATTAGGGATTGGCAATCACATAACTTGGTTTGGATGGCGGACGATGGACGTCCATGCTTCTCTGTGCTCATTGACCCTGTTGGCACAGCCACTGCCTTTGGGACCCGCAACATTTATTCATAATGGCTAAAGAACAAGAAAATTCTAGGTTGATAACAGTTAACACCAATACATTTATTGTTAAAAGTATTGTTTACACTGGCACTGGCTACCCTATCACACAATGCCAAGGCTTAGTATGATGGATCATATTCCCCTACGTTCAATAATGAATACGGGACTACCTTTACTTTTTGATGTTTACACTACAATTCCTTAACTGCAATACCTCAGAGCAAGCGAAAGATGCCACCAAGAAAAACGGAAAACAATCAATGGAGAGGACATCCTGTTTGCCATGTCTAACCTAGGGTTCGACAATTACGTTGAACCACTCAAAGTTTATCTGCAGAAATACAGAGAGGTAAGAAAATGAACAATTATGATTTAAATAAAAGGCATATCATGCTTGCACTGTCATAAAAATCCTTCTTATTGTGGGAGTGTCCAGGAAATTGGCACAGTCTCCAGCTCTGCAAGAAAACAAAAAAATCTCCTGCAAACTAACAGCCCTTCTTTGCAAACTAACCCACCTCCCACAAATTCAGGATGTGTGTATGTTTTTTATTGTATGTATAAAGCTCTGTACAGATTATCAAATTTTCATTGGTAAAAATACTGTTGCATGCCCATATATAGTCATGATGTGCCTATATATGGTCATGATGTGATGTCATCATGACCATATTTAGGCATATCGCATGTTTTTGTCAAATAAAATTAGTAGTCTGGACAAGTATTTATTGTTTCCCCTGAAATTAGCTGGTCATGGGTATCACCTCAAGCGGCAAAATTCAAAAAGATGCATTTAGAAAGGTCATTAATTTCCCGGAAGTTGCTTCTCCCAACTTGGGACCCCTTCTTAAGGTGAGCCTTGTTTTATACCTTGTTTAGCGAACATTATTTTCAAAAGATCAAAGAGGTGGAAAAAATAAAGAAAATTTTGGTTTTTCATGTAGCAAAATGGATCAACCAAAAACAGAAGGAAAAATAAATTTTATTGACGAATCAACAAATGCGAGTGCGTAAGGGTAAAAAATGTAATCCTCATTCAAGATCATACAGCGTGTCCATAAATGATACAATGTTTGCAATGTACAGTAAAAAGTTTAGTAATTGGATTAATAAATGGATAACAAAAATGTCTTAACAAAATAGATGGGATGCCTGCATATTTCACTAAAATACAGAAGCTTTCGTTGACTATGTGTGTAGTTATATTTATATAGCACTTTATAAGTCACAAACTGCTAGATGTGTGTAGTACCTCGCACAGTAACTTCCTTTTCCTCTAAGTGTCCTTTGTGTCTAAGCTACCCGGTATATCAGTGCCACTTACTTTGGTCTGTCAACTGCTGTCGCTGTTCACAGGGTAACCTCCCTACATGTTTTGAAAGATATACGTTTATAGATATATGTTTATAGTGCATATTTGCCTACAGTTTTATAGGCCTTTATGCAAGAAGACTTGTTCCACTACCAGAATCATAGCTGAACCTGCCACTCAAACCATCGCTGTTTTTGCTATAGGTTGCAGTGCCCCAGCATCTTTAACTGCTCAGCTATTCGACTTATCGAGTCGCTCATGTCAATTTGAAAAAATGTTCAAGGCGCTTGAGAAAATAAATAGTGGGAAAAGACAAAAATCGGAAACTAAACAAGTATAATATCCTGTAAACCAACTCAAAGCACAGGAACCAGCAATTCCGCTCTGTTTACCTGCAGGTAGCAGAGAAAACACCAGCTTGTAACACTAATAGTCCTGCTAAAAACTAAGTTATCAACCTAATAACCTATTGTATAAGTAACTCTTAAGCTGAGATTTTTTTCTACCTTGTTTTGCAAACCTGCCACTTACTAATAATGATTATGTATAAAAAAAAATTATTTCACCTCTCTTGATGCTTTTGGTAGAGCCATTTTCCTAAAATTTTTTAATAAAGTTCACTAAACAAGGTATAAAAAAAAGTCTTGCTAAAATGTTGTCATTTTAAAGTGGCAGTTCCAATTAATCCCATGAAGAAATATGTTTGACCTTATTCATCCCTATTTATCTATTGAGATTGTAATTATCCTGAGCTTGTCAACTTATTGGCTGCTATCAATGTGTGGACACTTTTTGCTGCCACTTAATTGTATTGGAAGTCATGCTTCTTCATTCTTAAATTTTATCCTTCATAATCTTTTCTTTGTTTTCTTAAATATCTCAAAATCTTTTATTCCTTACAGTCTGTGAAAGGTGAAAAGACCGTAGGTGGGGGAATGACCGCTAGCGACACACCCATTCTGGAGGACATGAACGAAGACTTTAGTGAGTATAAATAACATAACTACCAGTATGCTATTTTTAAAATTTATTTTCGGGCTGTTCAATACATAACTCTTTTAATCAGATTATTTTTTGAGGCTCAAAACTGTAATGCTCTCAATGCCTATAACTGAAGCTACAGACTTTTCCTTATAATGTCTAGGATGAGAATGGCTGGGGTTAGGGTAAAGCTCTATATTATGCTAACGGTTTATTAATTTGTTCCTTCAGGTACCACCAACCTTATATCTACAGATCAGCCTGGACAACAGGGAACAATATTTACATACACTAATCAGGTATCAAACTTGACCTTTTAACTTTTTTTTGATATGTGTAATATAACAAGATTGAGATCCACAGGAAAATTAAATTTTTATCTTGAAAATGTTCGCATCCCTTGTCCTATTAGTACTTGATATTTTGCCTGATTTGTACCATTTTACATATCTTATGATATTCGAACAATTTGTACAGTATTACACATTTTCACAATTTTGTAATTTTTCTTAGGTTGGTACTTAGGTGTTCATCTATGGACATCAAATTTAAGACTTGTATAATAGCCACTGCCTTAAATATAGTATTTCTGTCTGGTTGGTTTTTCTGACGATATTTTCTTCATTCAGTTTGTCATTTGACTTAGTTTGAAGTATGTGCTTATTAAATGCTGTAAAATTATTTTTATTACTACCAGATGGCTCAGCCTTTGAACTACCAGTGACTTTGACCAGAAAAGCATCTTGAAATTATTCCAGAATGCAATCAAAGGATAAATTCTTCGGAAGAGAAAGAGTTAACTTGAGGACAAACAGATACACCAGCTGCACTTATCGATAATATACCGTGATGGAATACTCTATCCTCAATGGATGGACACTGTAAAAGTGCTATGCTGTTTCTACCTCATCTATATCACAATTATTATTTGTGGAAGGTTGAGAAATTGAAAGATATTTAAGTCATGTACTTAAGGTGTATTATTATTATCAGTTGCATAAATATCTAGTGCTGGTACTTCGAGCCTGATATGTAAATAGACCTTGGTGCACTTAAACACAACACTGAAAACTTTTAGTACCATATACTGTAACTACTAATTATTATATTATATACCGGTAATACATTTTTCATTGCAATATATGTTAATGAAATTTTGCTGTAAATGTAGCTTCTGTTTGAGCAAGTTATTTGAGTACATGTGTACTGCGCTAATTTAAACGAAGTAGAATGCCAAATGTAAGTATTATGTCTATTTTAATTTAACCATCTGATTATCTAAATCATATCTAATGTTAGTTAATAGCTAACATGATGATATGAAATGGGGGAAGTATGCTAATGGAATCAGATGTAACAAGTCCCCCTCTCCCATATTCATAATGTACGGTGGTATACAATGAATGGTATAATTGTACACGTTTATAGGTTGTGGCTTAAGATTTTCTTCACCAAATACGTGTTTTTGTATGTGATTTTACCGATGCAGTAGTAGTTTTTAATTGTAGCAATAAAGGTTTTCCATCCATAAAAATCTTATTGAATTAGTATGTAATAAATTGCCTATACAGGGTTACATGTATTATGAATTTACATTAACAGCTAGGAGCTGGTACTGTATAGTAGTGTATATGACACTCTACAACCCTGTTTCCATAAAATTGCTACATGTATGTAGTCATTGACAACAATTAGTGTTCATTGGTTGAATCATGAAACCTTCCCAATTGCGTATAGTGAATAGCTACGTAGTAATTGCAGTGAAAACACTGTAGCGACAGTGTAGCAGTTTTATGGAATTCAGGGTTAAGTGTCAATAACATCAGATATCTATGTATTGGGAAAGTGTTATCAATGATGCTGGCACCATTTTTTTAGTGGGGGAAGGTGCAGATAAGCTTTGTACTGGGTTCGTTTCTGTAGCGATGTAGCCATGTGAAATTTGAATACTACTTGAAAGGATGCTAACTGCATATCCAAATCACTGTATTTTTTGCCATTACATTTTTTATTGTTCTCATAAATGTGTTTGTTCTGTTAAGTGTTTCAGTTTTATGGAATTCAGGGTTAAGTGTCAATAACATCAGATATCTATGTATTGGGAAAGTGTTATCAATGATGCTGGCACCATTTTTTTAGTGGGGGAAGGTGCAGATAAGCTTTGTACTGGGTTCGGTAGCGATGTAGCCATGTGAAATTTGAATACTACTTGAAAGGATGCTAACTGCATATCCAAATCACTGTATTTTTTGCCATTACATTTTTTATTGTTCTCATAAATGTGTTTGTTCTGTTAAGTGTTTAATTACACCTTAAAATTGGACTGCATTTGTCAAAGTACTGCAATTTTTTAAGGGTTTGTTGTTATGCGAGTTACAAGATTATACTATACTGTATTTTTAATTTCAAATGTTTGTTTTTAATATCTATCCTGTAGGTTCTCTTTATTAAATGACATTTCATAATTATGTTCTTCTTTCTTTTGATTCACTTGAGAATGAAATAATTTACTATGCCAACATATAATAAACTTGTATACTTAAGATCAATAGGCTTATTTATTTATGCTTGTGAAAATTAGATTGGGCAATAAATTGTTTCATTTTTTAATCATCAAAAAAAGAAAAATATATATCTATTGGTATCCAGATATCTATTGGTATCCAGATAAAAATTATTTCTAAAAAATCATAATTTATGATGATAACCTTTTGTAATTTTTGATAATTTGTGTAATTACACTTTGAAGGTCACTTATGAATTTGAGGTCAAATATTAATCATGTACAGTTATTGTTTTTTTATATTTAGTCTATACTCCTGCATTTTGATTCCTGCTGTATTAGGAAAAATTATCAAACAGATTAAGCTGTTCAGTATTTGATGGATAGGAGAGTAGGGACATGAATATTTTTCTCTGTCTCCCTTTTTTTTTGAATGCACAAAATTATAAATTTTCATGTTGAAAATAGATTCTGAAAATACAACATTTTGTATCTTAGAGCAACCCCTACTGCTACAGTAGTGAATAATACCTAAGGCAAACTTGTTTAGTATTTTAGCACAGTGTCATGTTCTTTTTAGTAAACTTACTGAATTTTTGATGCCATAAAAAACACTGATAAATCATTACAGTAGCTATCAAAGGGTGTGCTGATGATACATCCCAGGATTAAGAATATGAAATGTCATAAATAAAACACATGAATTTGAGATACTTTGTTTTGAGTCATTTATGGTTCCAATCAGTTTATCATTTATTTTTATATTAATCCATGACCAACAGCAAACATTAATTGCAACTTCCATTCTTGTAAAAGAATCAGCCAGATACAGACAAGATATACTGTATAAAACAGACAACAAAGAAACAAATACTAATGAAAAGTTATTCAAAAATTTTCCAAATTAAGACCTAGTATGAAAATCCCTATTAATTGACTGCCAGGTTGTACTATAAATTAAAAAAGTAAGGATAAATGGAGAATGAATGAAGATGAAAATACTACACTACATACTGTATATACAGTTCTTTACATTCATATTACACACATCATGTCTATGGGCTGTAATTGGACATTACATCTTTATTTTGAAAGGATTATAGAAATAGAATATAATACTGTAGCTAATGCTTTCCATTTTCATGAACATAAAATATAACAATTTTACATATTAAATACATTATGAAACAACATTTCACCTACAGAAATTAAAACTAAACTATGATCATAAAAAGATGGTAAAAAAATAATAGAAAAACATGAGTGACACAAATATTTAATTGAAAATTACTCTTGTTCCACTTAAAAATTTACGAAATCTTCATTATTACAGTATATGATAGAAATTGTGCTCTCCCATCCCAAGTTTATATACAGTACTGTACTACTGCACGTGAGGAGCAGTCATGCATATCGATCTACGAGCCGAGACATCTCGAGCCGAAACAACTCGAGCCGACCCGAGTAAATTCAATGCACAGAGAGCTGAAAGTGACGTGGCCTGTGTGCTGTGTACTGAAATCGTGTGAACAAGGTGACATCTCTAAAATTTTAATCATGCATATGTTACGAAGGGACAAAAAGGACGATGAAGATGGTATGTTTTTACATCTTTAGCTAGTTCACTTTTGGGTGAAAAAAATATGTTAGAACATTCCACCAAGCGAGGTTAGGCTTCGGAAGAATCCGGTCCGGGCTTAGCCTAGGCCTGTAGTCTAGTAGGTAGCCGAGGTGCAGGATGTCAGAGGCTACTTCAGCTGCAGTGGTGGGTCGGTTCGTTCAGGTAAACTAGCCCTAGGCTTAGCTCATTAGGCAAGTTCAGGTCTTGCGTAATTTAATTATATTTAGCTCACCTTCCTAACATCAACAAGTAATCAACTTATGTTAATTCATTGCTACTTTAATCCTCGAAATATTACTACTGTTAATTAAAGATAAAATATGTATTGCTTGTGTTACGCCTAAAAATATTGTTTAAAGGTAGATTCACACCCAATCTGAATTCCTTTTGTAGAACGTTTTTGATACGCGTTTTAGTACTTTCTTTACCACTGATTCGATTTTCTTTTTTCGTTTCGTTAGCCATACAAACCGGATTCGGTGTGAATCTACCTTAATTGTGTTGTCGGTTGGCAATCTGTGTGATGTGAACTTGTGTGGCAGACTTGCAGATACATTGTAGTAATCAGCTTGTAGTTATTTAACAACATTGTCCTCCTATTGAGTTTACCTGTCCTGTGACAAAAGAATTAGGCCTACGTACTGTAATTATTTTAAAATAACAGCCAGACTGTAAAAAGTAAGGCCTGGACGGGGAATATACTGTGTCCTATCCCCTGCGTAGATATCTGCGTGCATTTCAGAAAATCAGATTTTGCAGAAAATTAGGCTTTGACCTAATCTTAATATAAAAACAATGTATTATGGAGTAATTACAATTGTGAGCACTATTTTCCTAGCGATTTTCCAAGCAAATTTGAGCTGGTTTTTAAGGTATCATTCATGAAATTAAAAAACTTACAGTATGGAATAACAGTATACCATGGCTTTAGAACGCAGTAGATGTAGACCTATAGCATTATAAGGGCACACAGAAAAAATTATTAGATTTAATCACTCTTTTTATTTTTTTTTT